CAAGCACAAGATGATCTGTTGTACATATCCACAATTGTTGTTTTTTCATAAATGATCTAACTAACGAGTATTATATATATATATATTAATAAAACGATTATTTTATTTTTTAATTCAAATTTTATTATGCATCATGTTAAAATGAAAGAAAAGACTTTATTATATATGTACTTTTTATTTATAGAAATTTTGCTCTTATATAACTGAAATTGAGAGCTGATTGTGAATGTAGCAAATAATTATTAAATTTATTATGTCTTAAATTAGAAAAGTCTTTCAATCAATCCTATATACTTATTTTCTTATAAGACCTTATTTAATAAGTAAGAGAATTTGTTTTTCTTGTATGGAATCCTATTGAGAAGCATAAAAATCGATCGAAATATGTTAATATTAATCGAAATAGAATGTGAAAAAATGATTTCGTAATTCTAAATAAAAGTAGAGGAAAATTGAACATCTTTTTTTTTCTGGATCAATCAATCTATTAGTTGTAGAGATATACGTGAAAAGATTTTTATATTATCAACATCATCCACTTATTAATCGTTTTCGATAAAAAATATATAGATTTTTTTGTTCTAGTTAAAAAGAAAAGTATTTTTCTTGGAAATGAAAATTTAATTATTTACATAAAATAACTATGATATTTGTTAATTATATTTCGTAGAAAATAGATATTATATGGAACAGATTTTTATTAATCGACGAATAAATATTAAGATGAAATAATAATTTAAAATAATTCTAAATGTTTGTCTCAATTAAGAATTATTTTATGAATATATAAAGAAAAATATTTATTCTACGCGAGGATTTCTAATAGTGCATAGTAACTTAGAGGAAACTTTCTTTTTTGTCTGGACTGATAGTAAAATGAAAACTCTATTTTCCTATGAGATATTTATATTAATACTCATTTAGAACAGAAAGACTAATGAGTATCTTTTGAATAACTTTTCATAGAAATAAGGTAGAAAGATGCAGTGTTCACTCTTCCACAAACTAGATGACGACACATGGAATGGTATATTTTTCTCTCAGATTTAAAAAGAGATGCTGTGAAAAATGATATCTTTTTTTTTTTGAGCATCAATGTTAATGTAACCATCAGATATCATAATAAAATGTAAAAAAAATATATATATTTAAAATTTTCCCTTTTTCTATTCTTTATCTCTATTTCAGGATATGCAGTGCATGAGTTATTACTCAAATTGACGGCGAATGTATTGTTTTTATTCGCCGTTTCGTACAATCATCGTTCGTTTGCTACAATGGTGAGCGCACGACATTCAAGTTATTCTTACACATTCGAGATGAAAACTCAGACGAATTGAACATGAAATGTTTAAAGACGACAAAGATATCGTGCACTCAAGATTCCATTGCTTGGCAAACACCGGTTGTTATTATGCGCTGCGCATTGTCATTCCGTTACGTCCACGTCGTCTTTAATCGCGTCTTTCCGTTTTCATATCTTTTCTGTCTTCCGTTTCTATTTCTTCTCGTTCTTCGTAACAGAAGAATAAAATAATTTTCTAACTAATGGAGCTTTTGAGGGTGGCTCTAAAACAATTGAACTTTCCCAGGGATATCCGACGTTCTGTTGGTGACCCGTGCAGGCGTGCAGATGGTAGGCCTTCAAAGCATATACCAATGTATGTATGAATAGAAGCGTCCATTTCGTCATCGTCTTTTTGAAGATGATGATCATGGTCGTACTATTCATACATACATCGATGTATGTTTGCCTAACCATTGCCGGCTTTGTCTACTGTACGGACCAGCAGAATACAGTGGGTATCTCTGGTCGCGCGTGCGCGAAATTTTGCTGCTGCTTGCTTCGGCGAGCGTTGGGTTCAAGCGGTGCAATTTATTTTGTGTTTAAAACGAAAAAAAACAATTACATTTTCTTTTTCACATTTTCAATGTTTCCTTTTACATGTGAAATATACCAATGATTCGAAGGGAGAGCCTTTTCCCAAATACCACGTGCTTTTTCAAAGTATGAAAGTGCTTTCGAATACTCTCGCATCTTATCGTAGGCCAAACCAATACCGTTGTAGGAAGTGGCCAAGTCGGGATGATTCGGAGGGAGAGCTATTTTACGGATTTCAAGTGATCGTTCGTGCGATGAAAGTGCTTTCGAGTACTCGCCCATGTTATTATACACCAACCCGATGTTGTGGTAGGAAGCAGCCAAGTTGGGATGATTCGGAGGGAGAGCTATTTTCCAGATTTCAAGTGATCGTTCATACGATGAAAGTGCTTTTGAGTATTCGCCCATGTTTCTATATACTTCGCCGATGTTGTTGTAGGAACCAGCCAAGTCGGGATGATTCGGAGGGAGAGCTATTTTCTGGATTTCAAGCGATCGTTCGTACGATGAAAGTGCTTTTGAGTACTCGCCCATGTTACAATACGCAGAACCGATGTTGTTGTAAGATTGAGTGAAGTCGGGATGATTCGGAGGGAGAGCTATTTTACGGATTTCAAGTGATCGTTCATACGATGAAAGTGCTTTCGAATACTTGCCCATGCTATTATACACCGAACCGATGTTGTTGTAAGAAGTAGCCAAGTTGGGATGATTCGGAGGGAGAGCTATCTTCTGCATTTCAAGTGTTCGTTCATACGATGAAAGTGCTTTCGAGTAGTCGCCCATGTTATGATACACATTACCGATGTTGTTGTAGGAAGAAGCCAAGTTGGGATCATTCGGAGAGAGAATTTTCTTGTAAATATCCAGTGATTTTTCGTAATATAAAAGTGATTTTGAATACTCGCCTAGGTGTCTAGAAACCCAGCCAAGTTGATGATTGTATTCCGCTCGATCTTTATCAGAAGGTGCCTTTTCAATGAGGATCTGATAGAGTTGTTGTGCTTTTTCAGGCTCACCAAGTTTAATAAGTATGTGACCAAATCGAGCCCATCCTGTTGCCCAAGTGGACTCTCCTCGCAGATGTGCTGTAAGTGTGTTCAATTCATGATTGTCATTACCGACAATAGTGAGAGTGACTTTGTATAGCCGATCAGAGTGATTATCGTGAATTTGTTCAATGCGATCGATACGAAAAATCGCATGTGTTGAAAAGAGTATTTCTTCCTCTTTACCTTTGTAGTAGCCAACTTTGCTTACTTCAGCAAATGGTGTTGAGGATTTTGTGCAAATAGCCGTGTCAATGTTCATAACGAAGAGAATACCAATTGAATTTGTATTTAATGCTGCTGGTCGTGCAAAGTTTCTGAAAGATATCTCGCGATTGCGACTTGTCGATAGGAAGTTATTGAAGGACATAAGTCCTCCTTTGGTTTTTTTCATTTTTTCAAAATCTTCCATGGACAAACCTTGTCCACGAAAGACTTGAAAATTTGTTGGCATGCTGGCTTTTTGTTCGCGATGTAGTTCGGTAATATGCTGATGTAGATGTCGGATGAAGAAACCCATCTTCTGGATAATATCAACATCCATTTGTCGAAGACCATAATTGAGCATTGAGTAGATAAAATATGGACCTGTGTACCACCAAATGGGTGAATGATTACAATATTCTCGTTCGATCTTGTCAAGCGTTGTTTTGGAAACATCGTCTTGCAGACGACAGTATTCAACGAGTTCCTTAATCGATTTTACATCATCATCTTCTATTTCCAAAAGTGCTTCTTTTAACAATTGTGTATACATAAATAATGGATCGATTCTATTAAAACTTATCGAGATCATAGCTCGATCACAATTTTCTTGATCGATTTGTAATGCGTCACAAATCGGTTCAATTTGTGTGTACACACCTTTTACCTTAGGTATTGTTTTGGTCCATTCCTGGTGAGTCGATTGATTGTCACATAAAACATAAATGGAAGTTAATTGTGAGCATTCTTGAATTACCGGTATTAGATGTTGTCCGAGGGCACCAGAGATGATCATAAATACATTTTCATTTTCAATATCACTTAGAAAATCAATACATTCATCAATGTCTGTAAATGTTGTCACTGTTTCTAAAATATTTCGTAAATGTTGTGTTGATATTTTATAATTGTCTTTGGATTCGTCGAAATCGGTATCAAGCCATACCAGCAGAGAGTTTTGACGCTCTCGACGCCTAGGTCGAGGCGGCACAGCAGCAGCACGATTGCTCGTGTTGGTGATTGCGGTGGTGCTAGGCATGGCTGCTGCACCACGGATAACAGTTGTTATTCGTTTTCGTTTGCTCATTGTAATTGAACGAATGAATATAATCAATGAAATGTAGTCCCCTATATTTATAATTGTTAAATTTTTTGTTGGTTAACATCATTCCTTTTCTGACTTGTGGCTACAGACTTCAAGAACCTCTACTATCTGGTTCATTTTTGTTTCAAGAGTGTTACTGACAAAATACATCGAACCATAAATAAAGAAGAATGGCTAAGGAAACA